TATTTTCACGATTTAAGTGGAAAATCCAGAACATCAAAAATTGGGGGTGACTAAGACGAGAAATACTAAATAGATAAATATTTTTTTTTTTTCAGGTTGACGCTGATCTAAAAGGACATTATGTGTCTTGCAAGCTTTTCATAGAAAATCTTTAATTTCATTCAAAATCATTTTCACGCTGTTTGGTTGTGCAAGACATGCCTATATTAGTAGGATCTGTTACAGCTTATTATATATTCGATGTTCTATTAAACATATCAATGTTCGATGTTCTATCAAACATATCAACACTTACCACGTTTGTTACTATCACCACCACTACTACCATCACCATCTTCATCACCTGCAATCTTGGCTTTCTTACGAGGAGATGGCACTCGTCTTGGCGACTTTTTGCTTTTTGATGGTGTTGAACCTCCAAATAATGAAAAAATAATAATGTTTCATCGCCAAACATGAAGAATGATGATGACAATAATCTAATTTCAAAAACTCATACATAATTTATGAGTTAGGTCAATAGAATGAGACAATTTGGTCACATGCATGGACTTTTATGTCTGAAAAAAAACACTCCTTATTAGTATTCTTTATATTCTTTAAGAATACTAATAAGGGTGACCTTTATCAGATGGGTCCATGACCCTAGCAAAGGTTTCAGGTCTGATACCTCATCATTGATCAATGCAGGATGTCAACAACTTGCAGTAAACAGCCAACAGGGGTTCTATTTTACTTTATGCGTATTCAATATGGGTTAACGCATGATCAGTTTCGCCGAGTTAAACCACGTCAAAAAAAAAAACGATAACAGCAGCAACAAAAACAAAATTAACAGCAGCAACAACAACAGCGACACTAGCAGAAACAAAAGCAAAAACAACAGCAACAACAACATTGACAGCAGCAACAACAACAACAACAACAACAGCGACAGAAGCAACAACAACAACAACAACAACAACAACAACAACAACACCAACACAAACGTTTCCGTTTTTCATTCTCTACATTTAACATTCGACGAAAAAGTAGAACCCACATTACGATTCGCTTAAAACTCACAGGCAGGGGAGAGCTCGATCGCCCCGATCTATAATCCTCGATTACGAGAAGTTCAGTGGTCGTATAGGAAAACAAATAAATATTTGTTCTTTGGGACATGAAGCGCCACTAGAAAATATCGCAGCATACTTCGCTCCATTCAATTAATCTATAATTGATACTAAGGTAGAAATCCTAAATGTKTGCAACACTTTGCACTATTTACTACTGAAGAGGGCTAACTTAAGACTASAGAACAATTTTGCTATCAGACTTCTACATGAGTTTCATGTTTTCACTAATAAAATAAAATATCTCAAAGTAGAATTTTAGACACRTTGATCTTAAATTAAAACTGTTGTTTATTTAGATACTAAAAACATTAGAAGCCGAATAAATACTTTGAACTGAACTACATTATKAACAACGACAACAACGACATTATTACCACCATTGATATGCGCTTCGTTGAAACAAGCTCTTGGTATTTTAGATTTAATGACGAGCAAGGAATTGGTCGACAGTAATAGCAATTATTGTCAAAATTCATGCACAAATTAACCAGGAAGCTCCTGGTAATACCTCCTTAAAGCTGCAAAGAAAATCTTTGTCGTTAGTCAATTCTGTAAAAAGGAATCTACAGTAAACAGACTACACCAAAGCACCAACACCACAGTCAGTGATGGCAAGACTAAGAATAAGGAACGAAGACGTTCGCATAGATGACATTTTGACAAATCAAGAGGTTCAAACTTGTCGCCAAGGCACCATTGAAAGCATAACAATTATCGGCAGAAAGAAGTGGGCATCGACTGTTTCTAGTGATTGTTCTGATGGAATTGTTCGTCTTTTGTTGTTGACTTTAATTCTACATACCCCAATTTTATAATAGCTGGCTTTTCAACAGATCTCGACGGTTTTGCATCAATCAATAAAATTAGCTCTCTATTCAATTAAAAATGCAGAATACATGATTTGCAATTCCAGAAATCGTTGCATCGCAACTTCGAAGTTCGTTTGCAGAATCTGATCCTTTTCCGATATTTTGAGGCGGAGCGTATGCTAATTGCTTCTACGAACCGATACCCTGAAGGAGGCTGATTTCTTCATAAATTTGCGAAACAAATGACTCAAGATTACTTTTTATGGTGGTCCACTGTTCTCATACCAAAATCATGGGGCAGAATGAGCGGACATTTTCCGGTTGAGTGACYGCGGCAGTAGCGCCAAATTCAAATGTCAAGCCTGGTTGAGCGCACCGATTTACAAAGAAAAGGGGCCAAAATGACGAAAGTCGTCATTTAAAAACTCAATTTTCGAAGTTGATTAAAGGACGCTTTCTTGACTTTACAGTTTGAGTTGTGAGTCAAAATTCGACTTACTCGCTTTGATTCCTGGCTATAACAGTTCGAAATGAAGTCCGTAATTAGTCTTATTCGACTGAAGTTTATTAAAGGACGCTTTCTTGACTTTACAGTTTGAGCTGTGAGTCAAAATTCGACTTACTTATCATAAGTTAGCATGGACGTTGTAATTCTTGGATAAAACAGTTCGAGATGAAGACGCTTCCTTTGACTTGTAAGTCACTTTCAGAGATTCCGTGTCTAAAAGGGTAACTCTGTGGAGGCTAAGATTAACAGCTGTCAAATCCGCCTGGGGACTTATTTGGTCCCAAAGCTGAATTATTGACAGCTGTCAAATTTTTGCTTGGKGATTTCGTCAATTCCCTGATCAAAGAAATCAACCAATCAAACACGATCATAATCACCCATGCATATTAATGCTAATTTATGCCAAATTGACAAAATGTCCGGAAAAACAATAGGATTCTGCCCAATGGTAGTAACATTTAAAATTCAACGAGAAACTGTTTTACTCTGAAACATATAGTTAAGATTTATAAATAAAAAAATATGCAAAAACATAAATATTCCACTAAAATTAAAACAAGTTATCATATAATTTTCTGTGAAAAAACTATATTTCCCCATTTCGAAAAGTTGTTATTTTCACTAGAGAAAATAGCATGGCATATTGAAGGTTTCTCTATATAGTGGAAGTAAGAAAAAAAGGTATTTTATGACATAATTTGCTTACATATGTAATTATATGATAAATAGAATATTACATGTTAGCTTGGAGATACGAATTTTATCTTCTCGTGTTGAACGACTCGTTCGCCACGCTCACACGTGAGAGATCTTTTTTTAACACTATATAGATAAAATAAAATAAAATCCGAATCTTTTTTTTCATGGGGCAGAATAGAATTGAAAACAAAATTTTTAAAAAAKCAACGCCGAAAAGAACTTCGAAAATCCCTCTACAACGTTGGATTTTAAATTCAATTTTACTTTGCTATCAGAAAGATGTGCTCCGACACTTTGTTCCACGTGTTTCATGTTTGTATTATATATAATATCATCTCTCAAGTCGTTTTGTTCAAACAGCAATCTTCTTCTTGCTGCCACATGAATAACTAAGGCTTATATGACATTAAGTATCGCTATACATTACCTCAATCAGATTGGAGAAAAACTATTGCATATTTAGATAATCTATACATTCGAGGATCCCGAACATTTTGAAGCTGATTAATATCCTAAATATTGAAGTTGTTTCTGATATCGTTATCATTATTGCTATCGTTATCGTTATTAGTATTGTTGTGTCTATTGTTGTGAATATTGTCATTGTTATCAGTGTTATTGCTATTGTTATTGTTGCTATCATCATTGTCATTGTTATTGTTGTTAATATTATTGTTATTGTTATCATTGTTATTGTTATTATTGTTATTATTATTATTGTCATTGTCACTGTCATTGTCATTATTATTGTTGTTAATATTATTGTTGTTATCATTGTTATTGTTATTATTATTATTGTCATTGTAACTGTCATTGTCATTGTTATTGTTGTTAATATTATTGTTGTTATCATTGTTATTGTTATTATTATTGTCATTGTTATTATTATTATTGTCATTGTCACTGTCACTGCCATTGTTATTGTTTCTTCGAATAGATCGCAGAAATTGAAGAGCAGCATTTCGCATGTCTTCTATTCTCCAGAAATATATGATTGGATTGATACTTCTGTTTACAAAGAGAATGGTGTGAGCCACGTAGACYATAATAACCYTGACCAAATCAGTTTTMGGCGGAAAACTCTGCACAATCCAAACGCAAGTRTACGGGGAATAACACAGGAAAAATGCTCCAAGTAYGTAATACATCATATTCACAGATCTCTTAATGTTYCCTGCTRCACCAGSCTGTGCGTTCATTGCCTGCWGTTGAACTTGAATTTGYGCTKCATGTTGACGGATAATACAAGATATTTTCAGCATCAGCGTAGTGTTAATTAACAAAAGCGATAGAAATACCATAATATACACAACTACAACAGTCACTTTTCCCAAGAAAAGAAACAGGCATGTCCACAAAAMACTGAACGYCCAAACAATTATCACCACCATTGAGATGCGCTTCGTTGTAACAAGTTCTTGGTATCTTAGATGTAAGTGAAKAGCWAGGAATCGGTCGACAGTAATGGCAGTTATTGTCAAAAAAGACGCCCAAATTGATATGACAGAAACTGGTTGCAACACTTCCAAAACACTGTAAAATAAAACAATGTTGTGACTCATATCTGCTAAAATGATAACAGAGTAAACAGGCTGCACCAAAGCACCGACASCAAAGTCAGTGATGGCSAGACTAAGAATAAGAATGTTYGAAGGTGTTCGCAAAGATGSCGTCCTCTTAAAAGCCACGATGACCAAGAGGTTCAAAAAAGTCGCCAAGAGWCCACTGAAAACATTGATAACAATTATGCACACAAAGAAGCGAGCATCGATTGGTGATGGTTGTTCTGTCATGGACTTGTTCATCTTTAAATCTTATAGTAATCTTTCAAACGTAATATATTCGGCATTCCAGAGACAGTAAGATTCCAAAAATTGAAGKAGTTAAAAATAAGCTGATGGACTAAGATGGAAATGTGTATTTATACGCGAGAACGCATGYAACCTGGTAAGCCTCGYTTTCATGCAAAAGCATTTCTGCATCACAAATTATTTGCTTTTTTTATTTAAATTTGATA